ACATTAGGGCGGCCAAGCCAAAACATTGCAGAAATCCATGAAGTCACTAAAAAGTGAACTTAATCATGTTGGTAGATATAGACTACCTGGTTGGGGTCTGCAAGATGAAAGTCACGGATGGCTTGAGACCTTGAACGACATGGCCCAAACTCGCTTGCAATGGCGCAGATGCATCCACTCTTTGAGCTCTCTCAAATCCTAATCTTCTGGATTAGCCAGCCCCTCCACCTTTGTCTTTCTAACCTTATCTCACTGAATTATATTTCTTGAATAATATCTTCGAACCCTAGTCTTCTTTATTAACATTAATACCTCTACTATGTTTATCACTATGGGATTCGATTTGACATTTGCGTCTTTGTGATAATGTGGTGTGGCAACCTCAACTTATGTACATACGTACGACGTTCTACGTTGCAACTGACTGATATTAACATTAGTTCATGGAATCTATTTCCACTAGTTTAGATCGTAACAGAAATAAATTTTATTCATAGACTTAATGGAGACAAATTCATAGTCGAATACAGTCCATATATATATATATATATATATATATATATATATATATATATATATAACTCCACGAGTAGACCCTTCGGGGCTACTGCCGGTCCCAGACTCGGATAAAGGAAGAGGGTTGGACATGGGTTTGGCGACCCCATTCCGTCGAAATCTAACTTGCCAAAAAAACGCTAACCACAAAAATAATTCAAACCATTTTAACTCTGCCCTGGGAGTTGGAAGAAGAATTATGACGTCGCGTGATGAAAGCCTAGTTCCCTCGGACGTCACGGGGCCGATGCCTCTTCTGACAACCAGAGCAACCATTCCCTTAGGTACATGGAACGTTCGTACATTGTGGGAGACTGGAAGACTATTTCAAGTTGCGGCAGAAATGAAAAGATACAACCTCGAGGTGCTTGGAATTGGACACAAGTAGGACAACTGAGACTAGCTTCAGGGGAACTGCTGTTATACTCTGGTCATGAAGAGGAAAATGCTTCACATACACAAGGAGTTGGATTGATGCTGTCCAAACATGCACAAAAGGCACTAACAGGATGGGAATCTCATGGACCAAGGATCATCAAAGCATCCTTCAAAACAAAGAAACAGGACATTACAATGAACGTCATCCAATGTTATGCACCTACCAATGACTAGAATGACGACGTTAAAGATCAATTCTACGAAAGGCTGCAGTCCATCGTCGAGAAATGTTCACCAAAGGATTTGACGATTCTTATGGGAGACCTGAATGCCAAGGTTGGAATGGACAACACTGGATATGAAGACATCATGGGACGACATGGACTGGGAGAAAGAAACGAAAACGGTGAGAGATTTGCAAACCTATGTGCCTTCAACAAACTGGTCATCGGTGGCACAATATTCCCGCACAAACGCATACACAAAGCTACATGGATTTCACTGGATCACACTACTCAAAACCAGATTGATCATATCTGTATCAACAAAACGTTCAGAAGGACTATGGAGGATGTGAGAACCAGAAGAGTAGCTGATATAGCTTAGATCACTATTTGCTGATCGTCAAAATGAGACTGAAACTAAAGAAGCACTGGACAACGGGACAGACAACATCACACAAGTTTAATACGGCCTTTCTTCGGGATACTGTAAAGCTCAACGAATTCAGGATAGCCCTCACCAATAGGTTCCAGGCCTTTCAGGATCTACTCAATGGAGAGGACGCAACGTTGGAGAACAATTGGAAAGGGATTAAGGAGGCAATCACTTCAACATGTCACGAAGTTCTGGGTCACAAGAAGTACCATCACAAGGAATGGATCTCTGTTGATACTCTTGCAAAAATTGAAGAAAGGAGGAACAAGAAGGCAGCAGTGAATGTCAGCCGAACAAGAGCAGAGAAAGTTACCGCACAAGCTGAATACACAGAAGCAAACAGGGAAGTGAAGAAGAGCATCAGAGCTGACAAACGAAAATATGTGGAAGATCTAGCAATGAAGGCGGAAAAGGCTGCAAGAGAAGGAAACTTGAGACAATTGTACGAAACTACAAAGAAGCTCGCCGGGAACTATCGTAAACCAGAACGACCAGTGAAAAGTAAGGAAGGCAAAGTAATCAGCAACACTGAACAACAGCGAAATAGGTGGGTAGAGCACTTTCAGGAACTATTGAATCGACCAGCTCCTCTGAACACACCCAACATCGAAGCAGCATCCACGGACCTCCCAATTAATATTGGCGCACCTACGATTGAGGAGATCAGTATGGCCATCAGACAAATCAAGAGCGGCAAAGCAGCAGGACCAGACAACATTCCAGCAGAGGCAATGAAAGCAGATGTAGAAGCAACTGCGAAAATATTTCACATCCTCTTCAAGAAGATTTGGGATGAGGAACAAGTACCATCAGATTGGAAAGAAGGATACCTGATCAAAATACCAAAGAAAGGCGATCTCATCAAGTGTGAGAACTACAGAGGCATCACTCTTCTTTCAATACCAGGCAAAGTCTTCAACAGGGTATTGTTAAACAGAATGAAGGACTTCGTAGACGCCCAACTTCGAGACTAACAGGCCGGATTTCGTAAGGATCGATCGTGTACTGACCAAATTGCTACATTACGGATCATTGTGGAACAATCAATTGAATGGAACTCACCACTCTACATCAACTTCATCGACTACGAGAAAGCATTCGATAGCGTGGACAGGAAAACACTGTGGACTCTTCTTCGACACTACGGTGTGCCTGAGAAAATAGTTAACATCATACGGAACTCTTATGATGGATTCAACTGCAAAATCGTGCACGGAGGACAGCTAACAGACTCTTTCGAGGTGAAGACCGGTGTCAGGCAAGGTTGCTTACTCTCACCCTTTCTCTTTCTCCTGGTCATCGACTGGATTATGAAGACGTCAACATCTGGAGGGAAGCACGGTATCAACTGGACAGTTAGGACGCAGCTGGACGATCTGGACTTCGCAGATGACCTGGCTCTTCTATTGCACACTCAACAACAAATGCAAGAAAAGACGACCACTGTAGCAGCAGCCTCTGCAGCAGTAGGTCTCAACATACATAAAGGAAAAAGCGAAATTCTCCGATGCAACACAACATGCACCAACCAAATCACGCTTGATGGGGATGCCTTGGAGGACGTTAACACCTTTACATATCTGGGCAGCATCATCGACAACCAAGGTGGATCCGATGCAGATGTGAGGGCACGGATTGGCAAAGCAAGGGCTGCATTTCTACAGTTGAAAAATATCTGGAAATCCAAACAACTTTCAACCAAAACCAAAATAAGGATTTTCAATACAAATGTGAAGACAATTTTACTGTATGGAGCGGAAACATGGAGAACTACCAAAGCCATCATCCAGAGGATACAAGTGTTTATTAACAGCTGTCTACGCAAAATACTTCGTATTCGTTGGCCAGACACGATCAGCAACAACGAACTGTGGGAGAGAACAAACCAGATTCCAGTGGAGGAGGAAATCAGGAAGAAGCGGTGGAAGTGGATAGGACACACACTGTGAAAAGCACCTAACTGCGTCACAAGACAAGCCCTCACTTGGAACCCTCAAGGCAGAAGGAAAAGAGGAAGGCCAAGGAACACATTACGCCGAGAAATAGGGAAAGATATGAGAGGAATGAACAAACATTGGACAGAACTGGAGAGGGAAGCCCAGGACAGAGTTGGTTGGAGAAAACTGGTGGGCGGCCTATGCTCCATTGGGGGTAACAGGCATAAGTAAGTAATATATATATATATATATATATATATATATATATATATACTTTAATATTAAGTAGGATTTGTGAGTATTTGATGTAATAAACTCTCTGATGCTTGGATAATCTACAATTTCCAAAGTCAAAATCATGCATTGATCTTAGCTAGACCACTATTTGAAACCTGGAAGCATTTCGTGATGTCAACTATGAAAATAATATAATCTGCATAAATCCTCTTCACTAATCGATAATTTTGTTGACTTAATTTTCCTATTTGCCTGTACCAGACTATTCATTTAAAGTATTGATGCCCTTGAAAGTAAGACTATTAGTATTCAATCATCCGCAAAATATTTTTTTTACTGTTGCTTGAAGAGTATATTCGTCATTTTATCATTGGCATAATTCGCTGTTGAACTGAGAAAATAATTTATTTCCAGTTTAAAATCACTAGTAGAATCAACGATATCGTTGACTACACCTTTATGTGCTATAGGTACGAAAAATTCAGTCTAAATGTCATATCAGGAAAACACAATAATAAGACAATGAAAGGCGTTGCTAAATCCTTATATAATGGGACTGTTTGTTGAAAACTTAGAGAATGTATACATCTATGCCTATAGATTTCAGTGAAATTTAACGCTCTATTCTACTGATAATGAAGTTTAGCAATATCAGTTTTGTACTTGTAGTTTAATTTATGGACAAAAAGATGTTTTAAATTCCAAAGATTGATTTCTTCTATTACAAATACAAACAATATTTTCGATCAAGATGAATCTGACCAGTTGAATATTGGACTTGAGAAGCTTTGATCGGCAGTCACAAAAATTTTATCAGCGATTATGCCTTCTTAATTAAATACTTACAATAAATTGAGAAAAAAACTCATTTTAAACTAAATTATCATAAATGTGATTGACTGAAAACCATTTTAGTAATAAAACTTATCATTGTCTTGTCAATCAACAGATTATTTCTTCTCTGGATGAAAACACCAATTGATTTATTATGAAGTTGTTTCAATGCATAGTGTAATCGGCTAGTTACGAATAAACGTGTTAATATGTACCAAATGATTTTTCGTTATTAAGACAACATAATCAGTGAACAATAGATTTCCATAAGAATGACAATACTACGACGTTTAAAGTCAGTATCTGGACAAATGTTTTTGTGAGTACTGTTCTTCATCACTTTTAATTGAATCGTTCACTGATTTCAGCAATAAAGAAAATAATACTGACATAAAATAAAACTTACTGTTCAATTGCTTGCGGAATATTACCCACAGATTCCAATTCTTTAGCATATGCATACTGAATACTACGCAGTAACATACGATTGTGCTGTTCAGCGGTTATCAAAGCTTTGCTCCAATTACCGAGTGACTGATGTAACCGAATAACCAAGTCCCAACGATTACATTGAACAAATAGTTGTTCAGCTTCATCCTTAATAAATTAAACCAACATGAAGTGTTCAAAGTTATCAACCTGGCAAAGAGCATAGTATTACCTCATCTAACTAATGTATGGGACATACAAAATACATTATGGTCTTTATTATTCATTTAATTTTAAGACGAAAAAATTCAGATCACTATAGAGAAACAAAAAGTTAAAAGCGATTATCTGTTTAACACGAACATTTTCAGCTCAAGAAAGCACTGTTTCACTCTACATAAGCCAGTAATTGATTAGTCGTTGTAGCAACCTTGACTGACAACGGTCTTCACCTTAAACGAGTCTGCCAGTTGTCCGCCGTGCACAATTTTGCAGTTTAATCCATCGTAAGAATTCCGTATGAAGTTGACTATCTTCTCTGGGACGCCATAATGTTGAAGAAGCCTCTATAATGTCGTCCTGTCCACGTTATCGAATGCTTTCTTATCGTTAATGAACTTGATGCACAGCGATGTGTTTCATTCCACTGGTTGTTCAAGAAGAAGAAGAAGAATCCAT